TTAATACTGTCTAAATCCTTAAAATGGCTCAATATAACGAAAATTTTGTTATACAGTAAAAACACCACTTAGAACAAAAGTTTAATTAGGATTACAAGTGTGTTACTTCGTATAGGATACGGAAGTATTGAAAGTGGTGTCCAAGTAGGACAATACTCGTGGTATTGCACGTAATCTTTATACATAGAGTAATATTTCAGTAGAGTAACATTAACAGTAACAGCAGTTATCATCAGAGATGGGCTGCGCGCGGCCATCGACCAGCAAGCTTGCGCATGTCCGAGGTACAGTCTGGTCCCATGATACTAGACCTCGCCCCCTCCCCCCAAGGGGCATCAAATAAAAAACAGTACTTTTGGTACCGAGTAAAAAATGTTAATGATTTTTCTTCCAAAATGAAATCGAAGTATTTGTTAATCGGGGAAATCGTAATAACGATAACTATTGGTGTTTTTCTATATAAGTAGTATTTCATCATTTAATTAGTGGTTTTAATTTGCCTTGGTTAACCGTATTTATTCTAGAGTTTGCATATTAGTAAGCCATGTTATTTTTTCTTTGTAATACCAAGATTGTTTTCGCATTGAAGAATATACAGGATTTATTTTGCAATATTTAAGAGAGTAATACAGTATTGCACCACTTTATGTTTACAAACTAATATTAATTACATTTAATATTTTATTAACACAACCAAGAAGTATCCTCTCAGTAACAGCGCAAAGAAGTCAGAGACGGATTATATATTTCAATACTATATAAATCCATTTTTAAAGTTCTTTTAAATGTCCAAAAACTGGTAAGATAATTTAGTTAATGAATACATCATTAAGTTCGTTAGTGAAAATCTGAAGTCGAACGGCCTTTTGTGGCGAGAAAATACGTCCATAACAAATGTCCAATAACCCAACGCAACTGTCTAACCGCTACTAAATTTTATCCAACGTGTAATGTAGGATTTAATCCGTTTTTGCTATGTAACTGTTCAATTAAAAATATTTATCTTAAAATATTATATTTTAAAAATGCTGTAGAGTATCTTTCTATAGTTATGATACACACGATTTGTATCGCTCCTACTGCAGCTTCCACTACTAATGCCCTAATGCCGAGATTTGTGGTCTTCGGTGCAGTTTAATTTCCCAGAATGGTCCAAGTTTGTTGATAACAGCCGGCGGTCGTCAGAGATAACAGACTCACACTTAAACTTGTGTTAAGTGCCACTTCGTTCGCGCCAGCTCCCAACTTCCTGGCTATCTCCTGATATACAACAGCACTAACTTAGTGGAATTTGCATTTTGTATTCAATCGTCGGTGCCAGTGTGATTTATGTTCCGAAGTTCAAAATGTCCCAATTTCAACGAATATTAGATAGGTTTCCCGTTGAAACGAGTTTTAATGTTGTATTTTGTTGTGTTATTTTTTCCGTCAGTTGACATCCCCGTCTATTTGCAATACACATATCTACCGATTAAGATGGACGCAATGAGGTGCAATAAATTAATTGGAAAAATTATATTAGATCATCTTTCTCCGGAGGGTTAACACTTTTGAATACTCGTCAAATGACAATACTGTAAAACTTAAACCTGCAAAATCATTATTAAGACGTAGAATTGTAATAGTTTTGCGAAAAGATCACACACATATTTGGAATTAGCACTTTTTACTTACAAAAATGTAAAATAAGTTTTTAAGTGTTAGTAAAATTTCCCAACTTTACCAATCAAATGCCGGTATTGATGAATTTAAAAAAAAAAAACATTCTACGCAGAGTTTTGTGTTTTCCAAACTAACTACAGGGGCATTTTTGTATAGCATGCGTCGTTTAGGAGTTGTAAGCCGAAAACCGATAAAATAATCAACTTTTTGGCCATGGTGATAAAAATATCCCAACTTTGAAAAACTACTGCGGCTAAACGGCTCAGCTGATTTTAACGTATTTAACACCAATCGACGCATGATTTTTTAATGAAACTTAAAAACTAATGAAATTTTAAAGAAACCTTTGAACAACATTTTCCGTACGATTCGTCATTTAGAAGTTATAAGCGAACATCTGAAAAAGTGCAAAAATTGTATAGTTTATCCACTTCCAAAACTTAAGCAGACGTCAGAATCTATCGCAAAATCACAGGACTCTTATTTGGGACCCCCAAAAGGTATTAAACACTTTCCAGCTTTAGACGATTTTTTGGTGAGCATTATGTCTAATACCTGGACTAATCTGTATTTACACAAAAGCAACTGAATATTCCCATAATATAACATTGTTACATGACAAAATTGAGCTAGAAGAAGAGGGAAGGTTTATTAATACATAATTCCAGCAGTCCTCTAAATAATCTGCCAACGAAAAAAGAAAGATTTAGTCTTGAGCCATTTTTAAAAAGAAAGACTAAACGTAGAGGGATTTTCTAGAGTAATTAAACTTCTTGATAAGTTATTTAAGATTTTTGGTGATAACTGGACTATTTGTAGTAAATTATGAGCTACAGGTTTGATAATATTATTTTTTCTGGTATTGTAATTATGTTGAGTTGTTGTGAAGCATACTCTCCTTCCATAGAGTTATTGGTGGCAGTGATACCTCTGGTTAGATTCTTGGACTCTACTCGCGACCGGCACCCAACTACCTTGAAACAGCAGAACCACACAACACTGTCTGCACCCACAAGCCATTCAAGTTGCGACTAGCCATTGATTGGCCCATGTATATACTTTTAATAGCCATTGTTACAGCAATAACAATCCAATCCGGTTACACTCCACAACCATATCTCATGCAACGGGAAACGGATATAGCACTAACTTAACAGCAACACTTCTAGCGGAAATGAGTGATAAGAGGCAATGCTGAGACCGACTGATAAAGTCAACGGCGGGCGGCGGACGTAATAAAATACAACAAAACGAGGGAATTCCCCTCCCCCCTTGATAGGGGCGGGGCGGGGGTGTTACAGGGATGTCAATTAAACGTTATTGCTGGGGCTGCTGGTGATTCATGCTGAACGTCGTCTAATAGAAATTAGCGGAGTTGTAGGACGATTATTGTCTATAGATAGTCACAGAGGGTTGGGCGATATCTCAATGAAGAGCTGGATGTGTAGATGTAATGAAAATAAAATATCAAAGACTTATAAAATATTGAGGATACTAAAGGGGAGTTTTTACTTCTGAGATTATATGAGTTACTGAATTACGAGAATTGAATGTGTATTAAAATAGTCAATGTAGAAAACAGTTTTAGTATCCAAAGTGCTCTTAAAACACACGCATAAGAAAACAAATACACTGCCGTGATATGTATTTAAGAATACACTACAAGTGGAAGAAGTTAAATATTTTTCAGTAATTAACTGTGATTTGATGACATCTCAAACGGGTGGTCTGTGGCAACAAACAGTAGTTTTTCTTTACTAAGGCGAAAGAATCTATAAAATTAAGTATTTATCTCATCCACATGCGTTAATGATAATGTTAACTCTCCCCCTTCAAAATAGGACATAAGTTGTTAGGGTGAAGTTAATAAGACATTGCGTTAAAAAATCATTTCTATAAAACTCTACGAGCAAAATCGTCTTAGCAAAATCAATGAAAACTTAAACAAATTAAATTAAAATCTTAAAAATTTGTCTTTCTACAAACTACATGTTCCTTGAAGGGATCAAATTGTCTTAAACAACTATTACTTATCAATGAAGTGTGTTTAAAATCAAATAAGTGCAAATATGTTTAACATGACGTAAATAGTTGCAAACATTGAGATGGTAGCGGGGAGGGAGGATGGTTGAAGAGGGTTGACCTGTTAAAACAACAGGCTAAGAGCTTCACTGCTGGATGTTAATTGCTTTTACATATTCATTACTAATTAGAGTGTAAGAGCCATTCTATACCCACGCGCAGGCAACATCGTCGTTTCCTCAATACGGACAATGATATTGTAATTGAAAAGTGTGGGTGTCACTTCGGGTGCCAAAGAACTCTCACACAAAGATATAAATAAATTAAATTGTAATATCCCCATTTTAAATCTGTAGATAGTTTTAAATCAGAGTTTCCCAAGTTGGATTTGGTCACCGATGTGTGGTTATATCAATTACTCATTTTTTGGTGAAATACGTAAACTTGTTTAACCATCAAAATTCAACAGATAACTTATTTGTAAATCAGGGCTACACCCTCTACATAAAATATTATAATCTTTTATGTCACATAAATCCTAAATTTACAGAGAAAGGAAGCCTTTTTGGTTTTTGGCAAAACATACAGATAGAATGTATCAGGTCACTAAGTAGTGTAGATTGTTAGCTGAGTAGTGCATGTATTAGCTAAGTAGAGTATGTATTAGCTAAGCAGTGTATGTATTAGCTGAGCAGTGTATGTATAAACTAAGTAGTGTATGTATTAGCTAAGTAGTGTATGTATAAACTAAGTAGTGTATGTATTAGCTAAGTAGTGTATGTATTAACTAAGTAGTGTATGTATTAGCTAAGCAGTGTATGTAATAGCTGAGCAGTGTATTTATCAGTTCGCTAAGTGGTGTATGTATACGCTAAGCAGTCTATGTATTAGTTAACTTAGTATTGTATGTATTAGATAAGTAGTGTATGTATCAGGTTGCTAAGCAGCGTATGTATTAGCTAAGTAGTGTATGTATCAGCTAAGCAGTGTATGTATTAGCTAAGTAGTGTATGAATCAGGTTACTAAGCAGAGTATGTATCAGGTTGCTAAGTAGTGTATGTATCAGGTTGCTAAGCAACGTATGTATTAACTAAGTAGTGTATGTATTAGCTAAGTAGTGTATGTATTAGCTAAGTAGTGTATGTATCAGGTTGCTAAGCAGTTGTATTAGCTGAGCAGTGTATTTATCAGTTCGCTAAGCAGTCTATGTATTGTAGTTAACTTAGTATATTGTTGATATTAGCTAAGTAGTGTATGTATCAGGTTGCTAAGTAGTGTATGTATTATCTAAGTAGTGTGTGAACGTTGTATTTACCGTGAAGCGTCGACACCACACGGAGAGCCACTTGAGGTCCCGGATGCGTTTGCCGTTGGGCAGTCGCAGAATGACGTCAGTTTTGTTGTAAGCGTTCAGGATAGGCGGATCCCTGAAACATACACAACATACATATGCAATCATACAGTAAATCAATTAACATATCTTTAACGTCCTATATTGTTAAATGGAGGTGTATCTGATTGATTTACGCGATCACAAATACTACCGAGCCAATCTTAGACTGTGCATACTTTTGGCCTACACTATACAGAAGAAATCATGCTCCAGACAACACTAAAGCCCCGTTCACACGGGGCGAGTTTACAAGCTACACGCCGGCTTTTTTACACGCTGCTAGTAAAATAGCTCAGTGTGAACGACGTACTCGCTCAAAAGCTGCTTGTAAAAAAGCTCTGGAAAAAGTTGACGCTGCCGCTACTTTACACGCCAACTCGCCAGCTTTTGAGCGAGTAGGAGTGTAAAGTAGCCCAGTGTGAACACAGTTGCTTGTGCTTGTGCGCATGTTATTCGAAGATGTCAAGATGTCGGAGGATTTAGTTCAAGCCAGCTACTGAGCGAGTGGAAAAAGCATCGTGTGAACGACTTACATTACATTTACATTTACATTTGTTGTCATGAGAGCCGAAGCCCCCTGACTGCTTACCCGGTACCTATCCTTCAGGACATACCCGGGCCCCATGATGTAGGCCGAAGCTTACGCATCAACCTTTAGCACATCATGGGCGGATGACTTAAGGTCATCAGGCTCGCCGGCTGCCGAAGCAGACCCTTCGGAAAGAGGGTTGCCCCTCAATCCTAACCAGGGATTCCGGCTGCTTGTTTAAGCGTCACTCCACCTGGGTTCCACTAGGTCGGAACCTAGAGGTCCATAGTAGAGCGCCCCGACGCATTTAGTGCAAGCAACACTCGGGACCTATCTAATCCCTGACAGGCAGAACCCGCCATCAATAGCCAGGAGGAAGGGGACCATCAGCACGCTGACGGGGGGAACCCCAACCTCCCATTTACACCGCTGCCCGATCGAGGCCTGACCCATTGCTGGGAACCAGAGATATCCAGAGCGATAGATCCCCAGATACCCCTGGCGGGCTCGGACCCAGCACCCGATCTACTTCGTTTGCCCATCAGACCCAACATCACTGCCAGGCCATCAGGGTTTCCCAAAAGGAGGCAGGTATAGAAGTGGGACCCACCCGGATGAACCTATCCACCAGAGGTGGCGACACCCTTGACTCAATTGAGGTTCCGGGAAGAACCCCCCACACTCAAGATAACCATACCGTCCGTGCTCAGAGACAGGGATAGGTTTGCATAAGTACCTACAAACCGTTGCCCTCACACTGCGGAAAGTTACGTTGCCCTTGAGTGTCCCCGTGAGCTGCGGGTACTTGCCCGTTTTCACCTCCAGGAAAGGTTACTTCCAAAGTCGAGGATTTGCCCACTGAATGCTGGTCGCACACAACAAGCAGGCCGAAGCCCAAAGAACCACAGACACAGGTAGGTTAGAGATTATGATGTACTTCCATCTCTCCTAGAGCTAAACACCCCTCCATCCTGGATAAAGGAATGTCACTGGGACCCGATGCCCAGTCGACCATGTCTGAGGCCAACTTGAAAATGCCGATACCAACACGGAGCATTTACCTCCCCTCTGGGGGCTAGGTATTTCACCTCCCAGGACGAGGCTACTTCCAAAGTCGAGGATATGCCTCACAAAATGCCAGTCGTACACGACAGGTAGGACTCAGTCACAACCACAAGCTACAGGCAGGTGAAAGATCTATGAACTTAATCAACACTAGCAGAGCTGAACACCCCCACCACCCTGAATGGAGGGAATGTCACTGGGTACTCTCACTTTGGGTAAACCCAAAGAGGCTGGCTTGTCCAGTCGTCCATAGCTTGTGGTCTACCTGAAGTGCCGGTTCCAACACCGGGCAGTTACCTCCCCTCTGGGAGAGCTAGGGTCCGCGTGGTCGCCCAGGCCACGAACCCACGCAAGCGTGAGCCCCCTGCGGTTATCGTGTGAACGACTACAAGCGCACTCGCCAACTCGCCGGCGTCTTTCTACATGTCGGCGAGTTGGCAAGTGGACAAGCTCCGTGTGAACGAATACAAGCGCACTCGCCAACTCGCCGGCGTCTTTCTACACGTCGGCGAGTTGGCAAGTGGACAAGCTCCGTGTGAACGAATACAAGCGCACTCGCCAACTCGCCGGCGTCTTTCTACATGTCGGCGAGTTGGCAAGTGGACAAGCTCCGTGTGAACGAATACAAGCGCACTCGCCAACTCGCCGGCGTCTTTCTACATGTCGGCGAGTTGGCAAGTGGACAAGCTCCGTGTGAACGAATACAAGCGCACTCGCCAACTCGCCGGCGTCTTTCTACATGTCGGCGAGTTGGCAAGTGGACAAGCTCCGTGTGAACGAATACAAGCGCACTCGCCAACTCGCCGGCGTCTTTCTACACGTCGGCGAGTTGGCAAGTGGACAAGCTCCGTGTGAACGAATACAAGCGCACTCGCCAACTCGCCGGCGTTTTACACGCCGGCAAGTAGCGTGTAAATTCGCCCCGTGTGAACGAGGCTTTAGCCTATTTATTTCCTTTAAGTAGTTTCCTTTGGCTCCAACCCGTGAACGTTCAATACTTTTCCGTGGAGCTTTTGAAAGTAAATGACCTATGATATGTTTGACAACAAAAGTCACAATCATTACAAAACAATTATACTTTCTTCCCATTTTTTTTGTGTTTCTCTCCGCATCTGTGTGTGTTTTTTTTTTTTTTTTTGAAAAGGGAATTGTTCAAAACCTTGTCTTTTTACTGCATAACGTCGACCTTTCAACAGAAAAGTTATTTTTGGTTGGGAATCGACACTGTTCGGAATTGATCCAGCAACCTTTGTATTAAAAGGCAGACGCTATAGCCTCACGGCTACCCATAAAACCAATTACTGTACTGTACAATTTGAGAGTCCTACACAGTTAATGAAACAAAATATTAATTTGAAAGATTTCTGTCTCCAAAAACACGAAATAAATGAAGCTGAAGTGCTTAAGATAAAAATGACGAATTTAATTATTACAATTTATAATGTTTATATAAAGTTCACCACAATGAGACGACAAAGTAGTGGACGTACAATCTCCTACAATATAAAATTGAATTCTTGCCCATGGATGTTAACAATTAAATGAATTATGCAGACACATTAACTGAAATAGCATTCAATATTGTTTTAAAATCAACGGACTCTCAGTGGTTGGAGAGCGTGCACACAGACCTCTTTAGACGACGTTTGATCTTCAATGTATGATTTGTTTGTTTTGCAATGACTTCTGTCGATATCAAAAATATGATATAAAACTGTACAGTATGTAAAGTAACTATTGCTAGCTACTTAACTAATTGTGGCCATGTTTACAAGGAACTAGTTATTACTTTCATTTCTTAAAATGTTTATGATATGAAATTAAAATTAAACTTTATTGAGCTAGAAGCTAACAACTACGTAACAGAAACATAGCAGTTTAAAATACCCCCGCCGCAGCAAACTTGCAGACTTTGAACGGATGGTGTTTTTGGCCTCTAGGGATCTCAAAACGAAAAGGTAAATCGGTCCCGGGTCCTAGTCTTTCCATGAGTACTACGTTAATAGCTTATTCCCGTATGGGAGTGGGGAATTTCCCTATATGGGACATTCGCTAATTGTAGTTGATAATCAACCGCATGTTTTAGAAGTTTAAAAGGATAGAAGGATATTTGCATTAATTTAAAAGTCAAGCATATATTATTTTACCTCAAATTCATTTATGTATTGCCTCTTAAGCTTGAAATAAAATTACAGCAAAATGTATACAAAGGAAATTTTCAATTAATATTTCTGATTGTGTATGTTAATTTTTGAACCCACGTGGCACCCACTACCGCTACCCTGGTCTGTGTGTGTAGGTGGTTCTGTGTGTGCGTGGGCGACAGTAACATCAAACACTGTACCATTTACAATGTACATGTATACTGTGGCAAAGGCTGCAGTTACCCTTTGTAAGATCAGATAGCTTTCGGTTATTTATATTCTTAATGAATTCAACGCAAGTAATGTCTATAATACGCTCAATTTCAACTGAAGCGTTATATGGAGACACTTTGATTTGGATTTACAGAGGTGACTTAATTGTTTTATAATATTTAAAAAAGTTGAATAATGGGTTTGAATGAAAAAGTCAATGTATTTTTTCCAAATTCTATTGAACTGTGTTTTACTACCCCATGCTATGAATTTAAAAATCGCAATCGGGTTTCTCAACAATCGAAATAGTTTAATTCTGTGTAGAAACAAAATACATGAAATCTCCTTTTATAAAAAGGCTATACAATCTTTATGTATGTTATATTCGAGTGTGATACACTTTTTACATACATTAAATAAGATTGGTTTTGTACTACGTATATTGTTCATAAATCTATATCTATAAAAGAGGAACTATGTATGTATGTATGTGTGTGTGTGTGTGTATATACCTTATGGACTCCGAAACCGCTCGACAGATTGTAATGAAACATTCAGGCATTATTAAGCATCTTTCAAGGATGGTTCGAGTGAAGTTTGGTGCAGATCCGTCAAAAGGGCTCTGCCCCAGAGGGTTTTAAGTGGGCCAATATCAGACTTTTTTATCTACAATGTTTACAAATGAATATAATTTAAAAGCAGATGTTTACTTTCACCAACTGTTTTGTAGGTTTGAATAATCACAACATTCTGTATTAGCATTAGTCATGATTTGAAATAGTGCCACAGTGTTTCTACAGATTGCAGCACAGAAAACTATTTTACTTTTGAATAAGTCCAAATGTATTAAACCCCAATCGCAGCACACCTGTGCACTTAACAACGTTTAAATTCTCCAATGTTAAATATTAAAACATAAAAACCTTTATAAAAGTACTGTATTATAAACAATAAAAGGGATGACTTTTTTAAATTTATGACAACAGCTAATTTGCAACCAAAAGGTGAGTGAACGTAGAGAACGAACATCAACCTGGAGGCGAGTAAGCGTAGCGAACGAGCTAACCTGAAAACAAGTGAGCG